TTACTTTGAGGCCCATGGTATGCTAGCTTGCATTGCTTTTTACTTAGCACAGAAAGGCAGGCAGTTTGTCATGTTGGCTGCAGTGAGCAGTCAACTTAAGTGGACATGTTGCTGTACATAACTACGCTACATCAATGTCTCACTGACAACCTACCTGGCAAACACACTGCATGTGCTTCACCTAATGGCCACGTCTGAAAGTCAAAGGGGACCAGTCCTTTTTCAGTTCAAAGAGGACTATGATCAGTCAGGGTGTCTCACCACAGTCAGCCAAGACACTCACGTGATTATAGTAGACAGAGAATGCAACCCACAGAACTCGTTTGGTCTCTCCACGCTCTAGGATCATTGAGAATTTGAATATGCTCAGTCCTGCAGTTCAAGTCTAACCAGGCTGGGGATTACAGGGTGCTGTGGAGCTGGGCTGTGCTCAGTTGAGGTTGTCCTCATGAGTCAGTCAGGTGGTTAGGACACAATCAGACCTGGAGAATTTAACAGGAACAGTCAGCAGTCTTTATACGTGTAATCCATGGATTGGTGAGCAAAGTGGGAAACTCAAGTCTGGAATGGTCTATCTTACGCTGTGATACTAAGAGACTAATGACAGTGAAGGGGAGCCTGGGCAGAACCTATTATAGCATGGGAGAGCACACGGTACTGTAGGAGTGGAGGGGTTTGCAAGCCGCCATCAGCCTGGTTTCAATGGAAGGACAGTTGATCACTACTGTGGGCATGGGAACATGGTAAACCATGGGTTCCAGGGGAAAATTGATGCTATTTACAGTCAAATAAAAATGCTGTAAGGGTACATGGGGACCCTGAAAGCTGATGGTGTTGGTTCAGACAGCAAAACAAAATAGAACATGAAATTTTGGGGCAAACCTTGTTAATCACTCAACAGCACAACTGGATAATGTGCGATCTTCAACCAAACCTCAGCTGTGTAATAAGCAAACAAAATGGATGCTAAAGCATTCACAGTGGATGGAGTAGGTTTATTTATTTGTCTGCAGGGGCATTGTCCAAAATGTGATGCCCTGCTTGGGGGTAGCCAGGCATCCATAGGTGCAGTGAATTTATATATCTGTCATCAGACTGCACTTCATGTGCAGTTCATGCATCGACCAACTATGGACATTACAAAGCTTAGCCTCAACCTATCATGGCCATTCCACTGCTGGTAATGGGACAGCAGTACAGCACAGTAAAGCTTGATTAGAGACAAAAAAAAAACTGCAGATGCTGGAATCCAAGGTAGATGAACAGGAGGCTGGAAGAACACAGCAGGCCAGGCAGCATCTGGAGGAAAGGAGCAGTCAACGTTTCGAGTATTACCCTTCCTCAGGAGTCAATAAAGCTTACTGGGATACCGTGACATGGAATTTTCAGCATCCCCACATGAGTAGTCTTGATTCTGTCTGACCACCTCTAGGATCTTCTCCTCATAAGGATGCGATGAGCTGAATAGTATTTAGGGAAGATGATGTGTCAGAGAGTTGTTGAGTGGAGATGCTTCTTGAAATAGTGAGAGTTGTATACCATTGGTTCTTGGTGATATTAGTACGTTGTGACACAGTTAGAGTGGAAGTGAGGGGGGCAGAGAGAAGATGGTGACTATGACCCTTGCAAAGTTCAAAAGATCATTGACTTTCTTGCTCCACTGCTGGGTGTTTCATTAAGAGCAAGACACTGAATAACAGGCTGTTATTTCTGTCCAAGCTGCTGGCTCTGGTGATGTGACCTCCTTGGCCAGTCTGGGGATAGAAAACAGACTTCCCCTGGGCAAATCCATCCACTTTGATGACCCTGTCAGCAAAAAGCAGTCTGAGCTTTCCCTTCGGGACCATGTCCTCTGAGAGAACAGTCCAGCAGCATTGGGTGAGGGGCAGTTCCTGGTTTGCAGCATCAGAAGTGGTGTACAGCTGGCATTTAATTACGGCAACAGCATGAACAGTGCAAGGACCCGACTGCAGTGAGCATGATGGCCTCTGATGTCATGTGACTATACACATGGGTGTCTGAGAGCCCAAAAACATAATTATTGACTTGGGGAGTGGAAGATAGCATGAGAAAAGTCACCGTGAGTCACAATAGGACAGACACCACATAACACTCCAAAAATAACATGTAGCCTAAAATTCAGCCTCAAATATCATAATGTGAAAGGTAAAGAAGGCTGACCCTGTGCGAGTCAGAAATTTACACAGTCAAATATCTTTAATGCAAAGAAAAACAAACTAACATTACGTGTTAGCTAATCGACAGCAGATTATAATAAGAAGCTCTGAGGGTGCTGTTCTAAAATGGTTACCATTTCTGACCTGGACTTAGCAACTCAATGTATAATACTCACATTTGCAGATGATACTGAAGTAACAGTTACTGTGGAATCAAAATGCGGCATCTTAAAAATTACAGAATGATTTACAAAGGATGTGTAAATGGAAGATAGAACAACGGCCATAATTTAAATGTAAAGTAACATGGAGTACTGCAGATAGGAAGGAAACCAGACAGCTACGTACTCCATTGATGACACTAAAATAGTCAAGAGTAAAACTGAAAGTGATCAAGGAGTGTTTGTGGACCTGACTACAAACATGTCAAACCGTACTGTGCCACTGGTATATTGAACAACATAGCTCACATCAAGAAGTCAATGGTCAAACTTTACAGTCCTCGAAACAGGTAGAATTCTGGTCAGCAACAAACAAAAGAACCATTTGCACTGACATAGTCGAGGGAACAACCACAAAGCTGATCCCAGTGTGTGAAAGATCTGAGGTGTAAGGGAAGACAGGAGAAACATGGGCTTTTCGATTAAAACAGTGCTATCTTTGAGGTGGTCTTTTCAAGATATAGAAGCTTGATATGGGCAGAGGAAAGAATATCATGAATATTCTTTCTGGTACTACAAAAATAAAACAGCAAAAGTTTAGAGCTGAGTTTTTGCAACTATGGAGAGCTTCTCTTTGGCTGCAAAAATGGCTGAGGAGGCTCAAATCTACAAGAACAACCCCTGAAAGCAACACCTATAGTTTTGTTTTCATGGGGGAGGGTAATGGGTTGGAGAATTCCAAATTGCACATCCATGGTTCATGGATGCAGTTATCCAGAATAAAAAGCAGCTGCCTCCAGTCAGACTGATGGCAGTTGGTCTGAACTTTGTAGGATTGCTTCAATAGGTAGAGGCACCCTTTTAGACAGGTAAGATGTACTCCCAGATTCGGTTCCAGGCGACTTTTATGGGTGGTTAAGTGTCTATCTGCTAGTTTAATGTAGACATGAAATGTGCGTATGAAGGGCATAAACTCTTTGGAACTGTCAAGAAAGCCGTCAAACAGTCAAAATATTAAAAGTCCTGCCCTTTCAGTACTTGACAGAAACTGTCTGGAGCATTCTTCAAGATTGCTTGCCATTTCACTCTGCTGACACAAGCTTCAGGGCAGTAATTACATGATTAGTGTTACGTGACTGATTTCACAACTTTTTGTCATGACAATGAGGTGCCTGCCATTTCAGTGTTTGATTGATATCTCCAAATGGTGCGAAACTCTTTGAGTGAGATTATGAAATCCCATAATTCCTTTAAACCCTTATAAAAACAATGACTAGGTTTACTGAGAGTTTTACTTAAGTTGTAAATTCTTCAGTGGACACTCAACCACTTTATTTCATCTCATCCCAGCATGGACCTTAAACTTTGCTATCGTGAGTACTGAAGAAGTTCACATAATATATATAAGGATGAAGGATAGTGGGTGGGTGTCATTTCCATGAATTGCTACTAAATCATCTTAGGGGCTACAAAGAGCCATGAATGCTGGGCTAAGAGCAAAGGGTATAAGGGATCATCAGTTGGAGGGTTTGAAGTGAAAAGGGCTGAGTATGGGAAGTCTACGAAGGGATTGGGGAATGTGAGGGCTGAGGGATTAGGGGGTTATTTTATGACTTATTGCTTTTTTAATAAAAACAATTCAACACAGTGCTCGAGTACAGCAGAGACTGCCCTCCACCCAGTCCACCTCCACACCTGGCAGCCTCCTGCCTGAATCCAGGATCACCCATCACAATTCAGAGAAAACCCAACCAACCCAGGCCCAGCAACACTGGAGCACATATTCCTCGAATTCAGACCTTCACCTTTCTGGTCAGTTTCATGAGGACTTCAAGAACCCATTCAGAACTAATGATTAAACCACGCAAAAGCCTGGTAAAACTGGTTCCTGGTAAAAATGTGTGCTTTACAAAAATTCCAAATGTATAAAACCACATGATCCCAATTTTCATCAGTAAACAATTTCTCACCTATTCTGTGGAAGAGGCCTGGAACTCATTTAACTGCTTGCTTGAGAAATACATCAGGTGGCCAAAGTTATGCCCAAGTTTGCCACCAGATTTACTTCTGCCAATCAGCTGTTTCTCATGCATGCAAGTTGAAAAGGTGGGGGTGGGGGGTGGGGGTGGTGATTTAAAGAAGTCAATACAAAATGTCACCTCTCTTCCTACACAACTCAAACATGTTAATATCTTCACAATGTAAGTGCATGATGTATGTATTAATCAGACAGTAAAACCAGACAGTAGAAACATCGAGGCTATATTTATGTTGCTGGTTTACTCACTGCATGGCCAAAAGAAGCATGTCTTCTCTCTGCATTTTCTTTCCTACTTAAAAATTTTCTTCTCCAAATTTCTCGTATACTGCTCATCAATTCCTTGGCCACCACTGAAAATATGCTCACTGTAACATTACTTATAGTTATATGCAATGACTAGGTACTGCTGTTTGAGGAATCCACACCAGTTATCTCTACCTTTTCATCCATGCAAGTAAATAATTATTAAGCAACAACGTACACTATTGCTTACCAAAATAAAGATGCTTTATATAACATATAGGTGTGTTATTAAAAATGATAGATGAATATGTACTACATATACAAGATTTTAACATATTTGTTCACTAAATATTATCGCATTTTTCATAAACTGGTTACCTTTGGTAGGGCATACTTTGGTAATTTCATCTGAATAAACTCGCCTCTCCGGTAAGAGACATAATACTTGGTCCGATTTTCAGAAGTTGCCTTAAAAAAATGTTCAAGATTGTCAGCAACCAGGTAGTCAATATCAGAACGGAAAAATTAATAAGAGTATAAAAACTTAGAAGTTATTTAATTAACCACATGAACATTAACATGTATCTAGATCATTGGTAATATTTAGAATGATTTTATTTCTCCCCTGCTTTGATTTTTGTCCTATGGTTTTTCATCCACATTACAGCCCTCTAGCCATGGGGACAGACAGACACTTGAATCCAACATGGTCAGTGTCAATACTCTGAGGTTAATTTGCCCTTTGACTTGTCTTCCAATTTCTGTACAAAATCTTCCATTCTGGGTTGTTGGCCCCTACCCTTAACTGTTGGGATACACAGTATATTATTTTGGTGATTTCTGATAGAACATAACTGACCAGATCAGACTTTATTCTCATTCAGGAAATCATTTCATGAAGAAAATTCTTCACAGTCGTAAACACTCATAAGACATTTATGTACAAAACATATTAAAAGAGTATCTAAAAATCACTTTCAATCAAGTATCACATAGCAGTTCTTAAGAGGGCAGAAAACTGAGACAATGAGAACATTTTTTAAGCATGAGTGGTTGCATAAAACAAAATACAGTGAAGGAATGTGATGTGGGCAAAGAGTAGGAACAAGAAGTTTTTAAAAAATGAAATAATGTATATTCAACAGCATGTTTGTTTTTAAAACTCAGAACTTAAAGCGTACAGAGTTGAAATTGGGAAAATAAAGTATCGACAAAAAGAAGTACTATTCAAGATCAATTTAGAAAGTGCTAATCTTAAGTGGATGCCTCAAAAAGACAGAAAGATAACTTTAATATGGAATTTATGGGGCTAAACAGTTTAGATTAAGGTGGGAGAGGAGCCACTGAGGTGAAGATCCAGTGAGCGACAATTAGAATCACTGAGAGGAGTTGGTGAAGTGAGGACACTTGCAGACAAGCCGACAGATTGATGAATAGGCACATAGCAGTACAGTACCAGATCTATGCTTGAGTCTTGGCTGAAAGACAGGCAGGATTAGCAGCTCAACATTTCTGATTATAGGATATTCAGATCAGATAGAGAGGGGGATTGTGGGGCTACAATACTGATCAAGCAATCAATTTATATCTCTAGTGAGAAGGGAAGACATCTTGGAATGATCATCAAATGAAAAGGTACGGCTCGAGGTAAAAAACACAAAAGTGGGTGAGTATGCTGCTGTTTGTGTCCTATAGGCCCCAGACAAACAGTCAGGGAGCAACAGACGATCAACTATGTAATCAAATTTTAGAGAAGCATAAAAATAATAAAGGTAATAGTTGGGGGTTTTAACTATTCTAGTATTAATTGGGGTAGTTTTATGGTACAAGATAGGGAAGGGACAAAATTCTTAAATTGCATACAGGAGAGCTTTTTTAACCAGTACATAGAGAGTACCAATAAGAGAGCTAGCAGTTTTAGACTTGATATTCAGAAATGAGCCCAGACAGGTGAAAGTCCTATCATTATGGAACGCATTTTGTCTATCGTGACTGAGTTAGATTTAGGATAGTTATAGAAAAGTATAAGTATAAGCCAGAAAAAAAAACAGTTCTTAATGGGGAAATGCTAATTTTACTATGGTATGATTCAGCTCAAGTGGACTAGAAGCAGGTACTTGCAGACAAAACTATGTCAGGGTATTGGGAGGCATTCGAGGAGCAAGGAGCAAGAGTACGGGGCAAATATGTTCCTGCAAAAGTGGGACTAAGACTGGAAGATGCTGGATGACAAGGAACATAAATGTTAGGCTTAAGAAAAAAAGAGAAGCTTATAACAGATACCAAAGGTTTGATGTGGCAAAGTCCCTGAAGGAGTGTTAAAAAGTGCAGGGAAAGCAAAAAGGAGATTAGAAAAGCTAAGAGAGCACATGATAAAACATTGGCAGGTGAAATAAAGGAAAATCTGTAGGGTATTTTAGAAAATATACAAAGAGCAAAGGAATAACTAGGCATAGAGAACATAGCGGTAATCTGTGTGTGGAGCCAGAAGGCATGGGCACATCTCACAAAAAGTACTTAGCCTAATCTTCACATTCAAAAAGGATGGTATTAGAAAAAATTAACAAAAAGTGAGAAGAGGTAATAGGAAGTTCAGCAGCCTTAAAAGTGGATAAATTTGCAGGCCCGGTGTGATGTATCTTGGGCATCAAGTGAAGTACTGCATGTAGTTCTGGTCATCACATTATTAAAAGGATGTGATTGTATCAGAAAGGGTGCAGAGGAGATTTACCATGATGCTGCCTGGGCTGGAGGTTGAGGAACAATTGAATACAAGTGTATAAGATTATAAGGAGTGGATAGGAAGGCACTTTTTCCATTAGTAGAAGGGTCAGTAACCAAGAGGCGCAGTTATAAAGTAAAGAGTAAGGGGTTTAGAGGGGCTTTAAGGAAAAGGTTTTACACTCAGAGGTCAGTGGGCATCCAGAACTCGCTGGCTTAAAGACTGATGGAGGCAGGAATCCTCTACCATTTAAGAAGTAGATGAACACCTGAAATACCATTTCTCAGTGATGACAAACAGCAAAGCTGTGGCCTAAATGCTGGAAAATGCAATGAGAATAGGTAGATACCTGATGACCAGCATGAACATGATGATCTAAAGGGCCTCTTTCTGTCTGTGCTGTAGAAACTCTATGGTTTTATGACCTGAATATTCATTATACAGTGAAATTAAATAGACAAGAAATATAAATGAATCAGAATAAATGTAATTATGAGGAAAGTGGATGAAATCTGTTATTGCTCATTAAATAGCCAGCCCTCCAATCTATCAAAATAGATGCACAGGTCTTAAAATTGATATATCTGCTGAGCTGATATACCAAAAACGTCAATCGATCATAAAGGAGGTATTAAAATTCCACATGGGATTGTGGAAACACAGGTCATGGCTAACAAATTAACTTCAGGGGAGGATACAACACATTACATAATAAATGGTACCATAAATATTTTTTATAAACGTCATGGAAAAATATTGCAACTGAAGTTAAAACTTTTGCATCTTAAAAGAAGAAATCTGAATTGAATAAAGTGTTGTCCAAACCAAGTGCACTGCTAATAGTTGGGACCAAACCATTGTGAGCACCAAAACACTCTCAGATATCAATCCAAGAATCTTTCCTGATCGGAATATTTACAAATGGTTCAAGTGAAAGTGTTACAGGCCAGTCGATAAAATAATGCAATATGGAGAAGCCTGATGTTTTAATGAAACAAATAAAGATAGCTCTTTGAATACTTAAGATTAATATCAAACAGTGTTTAATGTTGCTAGCTGTTTAACAAAGTATATTGGTCTTAAAATAATATATAACATTTATAAAGGTTAAATCGTAGCCAATACACTTAACAATTTATACTGAGGCCGTATAGGTTTGGATATAATCAAGATAATAACTAGGGCAATTCCAGATTTCATATGTCACTAATCTATAAAGAAAAATTAAAGGGAGGGGCAACAACTTGAGTTCGCAAGTGACAAGTTGCAGGAGCCAAACCAGATGATTAGTTGGCTTTGTTGATAGTTTGGGAGGTGTAGCTGAGGAACAAGGTGCAGGGGCAACACTGTGCAGGGCCGCACATTAGCTGCCTTTTGATAATTACTGGTTGCTCCCCTCTTAACTGATAGAAAGAGTATTGACAGTACATGCTCCATTCAGTAGTACCTCAAAATTGTAACTGGAGTTCCTATAAACATTGGATCTATAATTGCATTGTACAATCTTAAACAGATGGACAAACTGCCTATGTAAAAACACAGGAAGGTACATGTGCACTGAAAGCACAGAAATATCCATTTCCACTTATACATATTTGGCTTATTTTGATGGATTCTATTGAAAACCAGTATTTGAAAGGCTCCTCCACTGGGTTCAGATCCTGGTTATTTAACTTAAGGGAAACCTCAGTGTTGCACACTGCTGATCTCAGTGGAGTTCAGGGCTGTGCAACCCTGCTCTCTGAGGAGTTGGTCTGTCTACCGACCAACATGAATCAGTTTTATTTAAACTCTGTACTTACTGCAATAATCAATTTACCCAAAGGTGAACATGTCACCTCAATTAAATTTTATTTCAGCTACAAGTAAAGGATGCTTACCCAGTCTGTTATAATTGCTTCCCAAACAGCTCTTTTATAATGGAGTCTGTGTACTAATAAGTCATGGGGAATTAATTATTATGTGAATTAATTACCTGAATGAAAATGTAGTCATCATTGACGAGTAACGAATTCTGATCTATATTTCCAGAGAAATGAGCTTTTAGCGCTTTCTCAGTGCAGTTCGCAAGGTGGCAGGTGACATAAAGAAAGCCTGTGTGAAAAAAGATCCGTATGTCTCAATAAATAATCACTGCAGAAAATAAAAGCATGCCTGTTGCTTTCAAATTTTAAAACCTGCTGTGAAAAGCAGCAAGAGGACTAAATATTTCAATTCTGCTTCAAAGCCCTATACTCAGATTACCTCAATATATATGGCTAACAGACTGATTGTTTTTAGAATCTTGTTTCTCCCTTGTGTCTCAGGAAAATGGAGAGGTGACCTCGTATTTAGTCAGTGAGAAAGATTCTGATTGATCTCAGATGATACTATTGGTGGATATATTTCTCACACATAACACAGAAGTGACCAAGTAACAGTGACCCCTGTAATGAGAAGAAATGGGAGTATGCATTTCACAGTTTGCATTATCCTGTTAGCTAATCTAAAATCCCAAACACATTATCATAGACTTCTTCTTTCTCATATAAAGGGATCACAGATGACAGCATCGTCACAAACGACTTATGGTTAATGGAGACTGTAACTTTATGACAGAGAAATAGCAGTGCAATATTTCATTGACAGTGTATGTGCACCCAGAAACAAATCTGTCAGTTGGCAGATTTGCTGACTGGATGTTGAAAGGTCTATTATAGATGCAGATCTCCAGTATGCATAAGTGCCCAAACATCTTGCAAACACTGCACTGCATTAATCATTTTCGCTTGCCCAGACTAATAATATTTGTTCTCCATCTACACAAAATAATCTGCTCATTGCAATTACCCTAAAAGGCACACTTGGCTTTTCTTTCTGATAATTACAAGTACAACAATATTCATCAGTTATGTAATAATTAATCATCAAATCCATTATTTTTCAGAAGTAGCTATAGTTAATGAAAATGCTAATAGCCAAATCAAAACAACTGCCAACCATAATTACCTCAAAAAGATGTACTTTTAGTTTTAACCTCAATGCAATTTGGGTCATTGTAATTAGCACGAGGCTACATTCCCCAATAACCACTTCACTTATTGCAGGACCCCATGTAGAAAATACTGCTGCTGATTTGTTTAAAACAACAAAGTAATGAAAATTTCATCTCAGCGGTGTTAAGTAACAGATCACCAGTCAAGTATCCAAACAGTGGAATGTGTTTTTAGAAACTAATGTTTTCTTTTTAGTGATCCTGTTACAGAATCAAACAACTTTTGGTGGATTGCTGTAACAGAATGAACAAGGTGGGTGAATACCACTCAAACAGTACAAAGACACATCTGCACTATATACAATATGTTCAGTTGTTTAAAACTCATAAATGTTATCTTTCATTTTCTGGAGTGGATTTTCCAAGAATGCTCGGATCAGTGTGAACAGGTTAGCAAGTCAGTAATGCTACCAAAAGATAAGCACACAATTCAGGATTACAATGGTGGCCAGTACTGGAGGTGGCAGATGCTTAAATTCACTTCTTATAGAATGGTTCCTTTCAGTGGAACTCAGGAAAGCCTCTAGTGATAGTAGGAACTGCAGATGCTGGAGAATCTGAGATAACAAGGTGTAGAGCTGGATGAACACAGCAGGCCAAGCAGCATCAGAGGAGCAGGAAGGCTGACGTTTTGGGCCTAGACTGGCCTGTGTTCATCCAGCTCTACACCTTGTTATCTCAAAGCCTCTAGTGAATTTGTTTCTCTATATGTGGCTGCTCATGACAGCAATGAAGCTCAACTTAAGATTGTCATCAATGACAGTCAGAATATACAGTATTCATTGCTAGATTTTTATTCTTGTTTTCTTTTTACAAATTAACTTTAAGGCTACTTGTTTCACCCATCACAAAATCCTCCTGTGCATCCATCAGCTCCTCACCACTACTGAGGACAAGCAAACACTTCCTGAGGTGCAGCTTTTCATCCTTGACCAGATATCTGTTAAATACCGGCACAGTTATGATATTTTATCACTGATTATCTTTCCTTCTTGCTGTCCTGCACGTTGCAAAATCCAGAGATGCAGGTGAGATTAGAAATCCAATAGTCAGAATTTAATGTGGAAAGGTCATTTAAACAGGCAGAAAGATAATGTGTGGGGCTCCTACATCTTCCCACTACTGCCCCAATTATGGCTGTGACATGATGCCAATGAATGTCCCTCTATCCAATTGAGGCCTCTAAGTAGGCAGCTAATGTCTACTTAAGGGCCTGATGTTGCCACAACTGCACATGGCAGTAACCATGTATGAAGCACAAAATGCAAGCCCCAGCATATTTAATTGCAGGCTTCTGGGGTGGAGGCTGGAGGAGGTAGAGGGTTGGTTGACAACCCTTTCAAAGGCATTCAGCACCTGATTAAGAAGCAGCAGGTTAGATGTTGCTGAGAACCACCACATGCCCTGCTGTGTAGTGCATTTGGAACTATTAACCACCTTGCTGTGATGTTACAGAGTGACACATCTTGTTTTCAGCGGCGGCAGCAGCGGGAGCCAGAGTGCAGACGGGAAGGTAAGGTTGTTTTTTCTCTCCAGTATAAAAACTTACCTCGTGCAGCAGAGGCCCTCTTGTTTTCAGCGGCAGGTGTGTGGACAGAACGCGGGCCAGGAAGGAACTGATATATTCGGGCATTGGCTAAACCCAAAAGGCGACACGTGTAGTGTCTCCTACCCATCCTCCTCCTCCTCTAACCAAACAAAAAGACCGTGTGGAGGGTCGGTAAGGCAAGGGTTTTCTTTTTATTCTTCTGGAAATCTAGAGTAGAGGGAATGGAAGTTAGGGCAGTTGCATGCTCCTCTTGCAGGATGTGGGAGATGAGGGTCACTGCTGGTGTCCCCTCTGACCTCACCTGCGAGAAGTGCACCCAACTCCAGCTCCCCAAAAACCGCGTTAGGGAACTGGAGCTGGAGCTGGATGAACTCCGGATCATTCGGGAGGCTGAGGGGGTGATAGACAGGAGTTATAAGGAGATGGTCACGCCCAAGGTACAGGAAAAAGGTAGCTGGGTGACTGTCAGGATGGGGAAAAGGAATAGGCAGACAGTGCAGGGATCCCCTGTGGCCATTCCCCTCAATAATAAGTATACCGTTTTGGATACTGTTGGGGGGGACGACCTACCAGGGGAAGGCCATAGCGGACAGGTCTCTGGCACTGAGCCTGGCCCTGTGGCACAGAAGGGAAGGGGTGAGAATAGGACAGCAATTGTACTGGGGGATTCGATAGTAAGAGGCACAAACAGGCAGTTCTGTGGACGCGAATGAGATGAACGGATGGTATGTTGCCTCCTGGGTGCCAAGGTCTGTGATATCTTGGATTGTGTCTTCAAGATCCTTAAGAGGGAGAGTGAGCAACCAGCAGTCATGGTACACATCGGTACCAATGACAAAGGTAGAAAAAGGACTGAGAATGTGAAAAACGAGTACAGGGAGTTAGGTTGGAAGCTGAAGTCCAGGACAAACAGGGTAGTTATCTCTGGATTACTACCAGTGCCACGTGATAACGAGTCAAGAAATAGGGAGAGAGAGTGCAGCTAAACACGTGGCTACAGGGCTGGTGTAGGAGGGAGGGCTTCCATTATGTGGATAACTGGAGCACATTCTGGGGAAGGTGGGACCTGTACAGGAAGGACGGGTTGCACCTGAACTGGAAGGGCACAAATATCCTGGGAGGGAGGTTTGCTCAAGCTACACGGGATGGTTTAAACTAGATTGGTAGGGGTTGGGGAACCGGATTTATAATTCAAAGGATGAGGTATTCAGCCTTCCAACAGACACAACAGGGAGTGAGGTTGTTTATAAAGAAATGCGGTCGATAGAGTGTAATTGTGGATACAGAGATGGTTTGAGGTGTGTATACTTCAATGCTAGAAGTATCAGAAATAAGGCGGATGAACTTAGAGCATGGGGCAGTACATGGAACTACGATGTTATGGCCATTACAGAAACTTGGGTAACTCAGGGACAGGAATGGCTGTTGGAAGTTCTGGGATTTAGATGCTTTAAAAGAAATAGGGAGGGTGGAAAAAGAGGCGGGGGAGTGGCATTGCTAGTCAGGGCTAGTATAGCAGCTACTGAAAGGCAGTTCGAGAATGATATGTCTACAGAGTCAGTTTGGGTTGAGGTCCAGAACAAGAAAGGAGCAGTCACTTTGTTGGGGGTTTTTTACAGACCCTCTAATAGTTTCAGAGAAGTGGAGGAGCGGATTTGGAGGCAGATACTGAAAAGGTGCAGAAGTCACAGGGTTGTAGTCATGGGTGACTTCAACTTTCCAAATATTGATTAGAAACACTTTCGTTGTAATAGTTTAGGTGGAGCGGATTTTGTCCAGTGTGTTCAGGAAGGATTCCTGACACAGTATGTAGATAGACCAACACGAGGAGAGGCCACTTTGGATTTGGTGCTTGGCAATGAACTGGGCCAAGTACTAGACCTGTTGGTAGGAGAGCATTTTGGCGGTAGCGATCATAACTCTGTTACTTTTACAATAGTCATAGATAAGGATAGGTACATACAGCAGGGTAAGGTTTATAATTGGGGGAAGCGTAATTACAATTCTGTTAGACAAGAACTGGGTAACATAAATTGGGAACAGATGCTGTCAGGGAAGAGCACGATTGAAATGTGGAGACTGTTTAAGGAATGCATACTGTGTGTGCTCGATATGTCTCTCCCTAGCAGGCAGGGAAGATGCGGTCGAGTGAGGGAGCCTTGGTTCTCAAGATAGGTCAAACATCTGGTTAAGAGGAAGAAGGATGTTTATGTAAGGTTTAGGAAACAAGGAACGGAAAAGGCTCCAGAGGGATACAAGTTATCCAGGAAGGAGCTGAAGAAAGAGCTTAGGAGAGCTATACGGGGGCATGAGAAAACCTTGGCAGATAGGATCAAGGAAAACTCCAAGCCTTTTTACACGTACGTGAGGAATAAGAGAATGACCAGAGAAAGGGTAGGGCCGATCAAGGATTGTAAAGGGAATTTGTGCACGGAGCCTAAAGAGATAGGAGAGGTCCTTAATGAATACTTTTCTTCGGTATTCACAACTCAGAGGGACCTGGTTGTAGAGGAGGACAGTGTGAAACAGGCTAGTAGGCTAGAGGAGGTGGATGTTAGTAAGGAAGATGTACGAGGAATTTTGAGGAAGTTGAAGATAGATAAGTCCCCCGGGTCTGATCGGATTTATCCAAGGTTTTTATGGGAAGCCAGGGAAGAGATCGCAGGGCCTTTGGCGATGATCTTTTCGTCCTCACTGTCCACAGGTATAGTGCCGGAAGATTGGAGAGAGGCAAACGTCATTCCCTTGTTCAAAAAAGGGAATAGGGACAACCTCGGAAATTACAGGCCAGTTAGTCTTACATCAGTGGTGGGCAAATTATTGGAAAGGGCTCTGAGAGATAGGGTTTATGATCACTTGGAAAGGCACAGTTTGATTTGTGATAGTCAGCATGGATTTGTGAGGGGTAGATCATGCCTCACAAACCTTATTGAATTCTTTGAAGAGGTGACCAAATACGTGGATGAAGGTAGAGCAGTGGGTGTGGTATACATGGATTTAAGTAAGGCGTTTGATAAGGTTCCCCATGGTAGGCTCATGCAGAAGGTAAGGAGGCATGGGATAGGGGGAAATGTGGCAGATTGGATTCAGAATTGGCTGACCCTTAGAAGACAAAGGGTGGTAGTGGACGGAAAATATTCAAAATGGTGCTCAGTTACAAGTGGTATACCACAAGGATCTGTCCTGGGTCCTCTTCTATTTATGATTTTTATAAATGATTTGGATGAAGGAGTGGAAGGGTGGATTAGCAAGTTCGCAGATGATACGATGGTGGGTCGCGTTGTGGACAGTGCGGAGGGCTGTTCGAGGTTACAAAGGGACATTGATAGGATGCAGAGCTGGGCTGAGAAGTGGCAGATACAGTCTAACCCTGAAAAGTGTGAGGTGATTCATTTTGGAAGGACAAACTTGAAAGCAGAATACAGGGTTAATGGAAAGATTCTTGGCAGTGTGGAGGAGCAGCGGGATCTTGGGGTTCATGTTCACAGTTCCCTGAAAGCTGCCACCCAGGTGGATAGAGTTGTTAAGAAGGTGTATGGTGTGTTAGCTTTCATTAATAGAGGGATTGAGTTCAAGAGCCGTGAAGCTATGCTCCAGCTATACAAAAGCCTGGTTCGACCACATCTGGAGTATTGAGTTCAGTTCTGGTCGCCTCATTACAGGAAAGATGTGGAAGCGTTGGAAAAGGTGCAGAGGAGATTTGCCAGGATGTTGCCTGGAATGGAGGGAAGATCTTACAAGGAAAGGTTGAGAGAGCTAGGGCTTTTCTCTTTAGAATGACGAAGGATGAGAAGTGACTTGATAGAGGTGTACAAAATGATCAGAGGTATAGATAGAATAGACAGGCAGAGACTTTTTCCTAGGGTGGAGGTAGCTGTTACGAGGGGACATAGTTTTAAAGTGAGTGGAGGTAGATATAAGGGCAATGTCAGAGGTCGGTTCTTTACTCAGAGAGTGGTCGGGACGTGGAATGCATTGCCGGAGAGGGTAGGGGAGTTGGCCTCATTAGGGGCATTTAAGCGGCTATTCGATAGGCATATGGATGATAGTATAAGGTAGGGGTGGAGGTTAGATAGACCTTAGGATTAGGGTAAAAGTTCAGCACAAAACAACATCGTGGGCCGAAAGGCCTGTACTGTTCTATGTTCTATGTTCTATTGTATGACTATCTCATTGTGGATGGAGTTACAACAGTCTGGAAGGAACACTCAGTAAGGCACGCCACAGTAAGACTCTCCAAAAGAAACTCAGAGAACAGGTAGACACAAACAGTGAAGAAGTCAGCTTAGTGATTACCTAATGTTAACTAAGACAGAGCCTGCTCTAATTTACCATGTACGTCATATTTCGTACAGTAAATTGTGTAAAATTTGAAGAATAAGTCTGAAGACTGGCCTCGACATAAAACATAACCAAAAAATCCCTTGCTGCTAACTCTCCTCTCCTACAAACCCCATCCCAATCATCTAATCTTGCTGATACTGAGCCACGGAGAGGTGTAAAGCTAGCAGCACTGAACAATGAGGTGTTGTTGCCTCTGACTGGCCAGAATGTCTCAGCAGGCAGGATACTTATGCCCCTCATTCATGATCCCAGCGAAGACCTGCTGCTTCCCAGTTAAGTTCCAGATCAGTTTTAGTGAGGCAGCCATTCCCAAAAGGATGTTCTGGGTCTTTCCCTGGTTCTATAGCCAGTGAGAAAGACTCCTATTGTCTACATTGAACATTGCCCAGTGTTTGGGGAAATTGTGAGAATAGAGATGGAGAGCCTGTAGCTTACTATTAACCCACATTTTAAAAAAATTTGCTCCAGAAAGTTACATTTTACAAAACATTGTATTGGATGTAGCCAATGAATCCAGAAAAAAATGTTGAAATGGAGCTGATTTAACATTAACATACAAACATGATAACTAAATTGCTTCACGAAGATAGTGAGAAGCATATTTTGAAAAAAAAACATTAAACTGCTGGAGACATTGTGATACAGGAGGAGGTCATTTCACCCATCAAGTTGAATTTCTGTCTATAATATTTGAACTTTAATATTTATGCTATGTATCATTAAGGCTCTCCAATAAAATTAAATTTCTAAGTTAGGAAGAAAACCATATAAGGTTCATAATTTTAATTTGCTATTTTCAATTTTATACTCAAACCAAATTTTAATTTTGATGGATTACTGATTCAATTCAAACCCATATTTATAGTCCATTACTTGTGACTATAATACATGCAAAATTCAGTGGGTGCTGGAGATCTGAAATAAAAGCAGAAAGTGCTGGAAAAACTCAGCTATGTACTAGTGGTTTGTTGCGTAATGTTAAATAGAGATTAAGGTTACAAGTAGAAACAGAAAATACTGGAAAAACTCAGCTATGTACTGTCCACTGTGCCAACAGTTTGTTGCGTAATGTTCAATAGAGATTAAGGTTACAAGTAGAAACAGAAAATACTGGAGAAACTCAGCTGGTCTGGCAGAATCTGTGATGAAAGAAAGGGTTTACGTTTCAAGTCCAGTGACTCTTGGGTCATTAAGAATGAGCTCCTAAGTACAGTATTTTATGCAACACATCCCTGGGACAGTGTACAGAATGCAGATATATCACCGATAGCATCCCTAGGATGATTAGCTAATTTTTACCTCCACTCTTGTCCTGAATTTCCATGTGAACCAAATCAGGGTCACTGTCAACTCCTGTCACAGACCTGGAACAAGAAATAACCATTAATATTTATCCCCTACGTAAGTGAAGGATCCAAGCTATTAAAATAGATACCAGATATTCCATTCTCTTCATTTGCTCTAAATGTCTCTATAGATGCTTACACTTTAACTCAATTATGATACAGCAAAGAAATTCTGATTTTTAAAAGAAAAAAAAACTACCTGAATTTCTTAGAGCAATACATTAGATGTTTGAGATGCCAGTAACTACTCTCAGAGAAAGACAGTAGATTAGTTTGTGTATACCAGATCATTGTAAGTTGGCTGAAAACAATGCTATCATTTGAGCACTCATGTTTAAACCAAATTCATCTATACAAAATAAAGGCAACCTGTTTATTCTAAACCAGTCATTACTTTTCTGAAAATAGATCTATCTATTTTAAATAATTTAAGGTTGTATGTGCTTTTCAACTTTTCCAACAATGCTATTCTACTGTGACAAATATTGTCTATTTCAGGCAAAGACCCAGCAATTTTTAAAAATTAATTAAAATTTGGAATTTTGCACATTATGTTGAAGAAATATATTTTTACACCTAATGATTTTACACATCATTAGCGGAAATCATGCATATTTTACATTTGTCGATTATCGTTTAACTGTTAGATCTTATCTGTCACAACATAGTTCAGTTCATAATAACACTTGTGATGTACATGACACTTGTATATTATTGACTGAACACTAGATGGCCTCCTGTAAGCCCATGGTAACAATCATACTAAGTTTTCTTTTTGTGATAATTCGCTATTTTTGATTAAATATTCTACAGAGTCTGGAAAGAAAAGCAGCTAGTTATTACCACTGATATTTCGGTGCTTATTTAGAAAAATCAATTCTTTAAAAAGTGCTGAAATCAATACTTTACTGATCAATCTCCTTGTATGGTAAATTCCTAATCTCAGTCAGTTTCTAAGGTTTTCTGCTGGAGGTGAGCAAGAAATGCTGAACTTACTATACATTTTTTAAAAAGAGAAATGTGAGGAATTTTACACTTTCAGAACATAGTCAGGAGAGGTGTTAAAATTTAAAATATCTAAATCTTGATCCCAATCTGTCTCAAAAATTTCCTTTTGATTTTAACAGTGGCAGTTTAGAAATGGGACACTGCCAGTTCTCAGGGGCATTTGATGTATTTGACTTGTGGCAGAAATGGGTGGCACAATAATGCCAATGGCATTAAAATAAAATACTGTACTTAGGAGCTCATTCTTAATCTAAATCTAATGGAAGAGTTACAGACTGTCACACTCAGTAGCAGAAAAGTATGTAACAAAGATAAATATGGAAGATTGTTCAAATTATTTGCCCGAGTATTATTTTTGTTTGTTTCTCCATCTACCATTCTGTCTGATTTTCTAATGTTTTCTCCTTATCTATCTCCCTATGCCTTTCCATAACATTGTCTGATTTATGCATTGTCCTCAAGTTCTCTTTCATCTTCATTCCTATTTCCCAGCTGATCTGTCGAATGGCTTCCCACACTCTAGAGCCTTCCTTATTCACCTATCTAACTATCTGTCTCTGATGTCAGATTTTGTACATCAAGCACTGGGATTAAATGGAAACAGCAATTTGTTTTCCAGCATGAACGTTGCCATAGAGGTATTTGTCCATCTCGGTTCCAGTGAAGGTGGGAAATGATAGATGAAAAAATGAGAAATGAAAGAGAAAAGACATCTCCAAATTGAACACTGACCAATAACAAAACTATTTCATGATACCCTCTATAATATTATATATAGAAACACTACAGAACAGATAAAGAGCATCAACCCCAGACCCATCCTTCTACTATATCCCTGTAACCTTGCATTTCCTATGGTTAATTGTAGATTGTCGGAAAACCCCATCTGGTTCACTAATGTCCTTTAGGGAAGGAAACTGCCATCTTTACCTGGTCTGGTCTACATGTGATTCCAGACCCACTGCAATGTGGTTGACTCTTATCTACCCTCTGGGTAATTAGGAATGGGCAATAAATGCTGCCTAGCCAGTGACACCCTCATCCCTTGAATGAATAAAGAAAATAAAATAATCCAGCTAGTCTGCACATCCCTGGACACTACAGGCAACCTGCACATTTTATATTTGTGAAGGCATTGAATGCTTTTAAGAAGGAGATAGATGTAGTTCTTAAGGCTAAGGGGATCAAAGGGTATGGGACAAAAGTGGGAACAGGGTATTGAATTGGATGATTAGTTATGATCACATTGAATGGTGGAGCAGGCTTGAAGGGCCAAATGGCGTACTCCTGTACCTATTTTCTACATTTAGATGCTTCAGACTTTAAACAACAAAAGATTCAACAAGGCCATTCCACAATCCTTCATGTGTTTTAGTACCAAATTCCTGAAGAGATTTATAGATCAACAGCCTGACCATTACAATATGGTGCACACATTCCTTTAACCATTTTCTGGGACCCAATCACTAGTTAATTGCTGCATGACAAAAATAAACAGTTTGATACTGATTCTGGGTGAACAGAAAGGTAGGGGAGTGATTGTACATTGAGGGATAAAGACAAAGTCATCAGGAAGATTGTGGGTTGGTGATCATAAGGGTAGTTCATGAGTCTGTGGTGAGGATGGACAGAGATTATGGATTGAGGGCGACAGTGATGAAGAGTTGGGGAGGAAATGACAGGTTATTGGAGACGGTGGATCAGAAGTGTAACTGTGGGTCAGCAGGAAAGTATGGGGTCAGGGTAGGGAGGTTGTGTGGAGATTGTGGGGAGTTCATGGGTTGTAGGTTTGAAGTAATTGAGGGAGGAAGGTGGAAATCACAAACAATCCTGAACAAACCCCTGAAATCTGTTCCTTCTCATAACCCTTCAGTTGCTGAGTTTCCCAAGGCCTGGAAAATTTGACCTGCAGTTGTTAAATCTTAATGGCTGCTAAAGATCAGAGGTGTGTAGCCCATTAACAGTTTTAGGCAATGGACCTATCTCTCAAAACAACTTGGAGCTGGTCTTTTACAGACCACTTCAATTATTGCTAATGTCCAGATAGTTCACGCTCTTCCAGATTCCAATGTGTTGATTTTATAATCTACTCAAGGGCGCACAATTGTAGTTTTTTGGCAGATAGCTACCTTCACTAAGCTGCAACTACCCCTGAGCTCCAGTATTTCTCAGCTGCTCCAAGCAACTAATGTGGGCTCCCTTCACCTCTATTTTCAGCTGCATATGATCATTAGATGTACATGTAAAATTAATCTATTTGACCTGTTGAGTCTGCTCTGACTCAATGAGATCATGGCCGATTGGCACTGAACTATCAATGCCTTTCATGTACACCTCCTGTTCTAATTGCTTGGAGTCTGCTACCAGAAGAATGTGTGCTGTCTAGCCCATATCTGCTTCAGCACTCTACCAGCTCTAAACAGCAACCAAGCTCTCTCAGTAAACATTCCCCAAGATAAATTGACACCAAAGAATGTGATTAAGTTGTGCACATATTCATGATGACATAGCCTGCTCCAGGCTCCTTAACATGACATTTGGGAGTCTGTGAAATGCTTTTCATCTGATTTAGCTCTAACTGCAAGATTTCCAGATATCACATCTCCAGCTGAGAAAGCCACCAGCTGTTTTTGCAGCTCCAGATCTTCAATTCTAATTCTATTAAACAAAATGAGTAGCACCTTCTTTAACTTTCAGCTGTTAACCTCTTAAAGCCACATAACCCTAACCTTTTTAAGTGCGCCAGACTTCAAAGGTGCTTCAAATGAATTTATCCTATTTTCTACTGTTGAACATTAACTCCAAAAACTAAAATTAGGACAAGAACTATGAAGTAGCTATGTCCTATTACAATCTGGAGTGAACTCACATGAGTGAAATGAACACTTCTCTCTTTATATGTGATAGTGAAGATTAACACTCTTACTCATTGAGACCCATGTTTGGCGCCAACAAATGGTACTAAGTTCATGAGTTAAGTGAACAAACAGTCGACAGCTGTGACACAGACATACTTTCTCTGCACTCCCCAAAATGCTGAGTGAGAATGATGTAACTTGTTTTTGTCTTGAATACAGCTGCTCACCACCCATACAACATAAAAAATCAGTCAGGTTTCACTTGTCAAGCTGGCAAGGAACTTTAAAAAACTCAGCCTTACAACTGGTGACGTCGAGTCGCATGCTGATTACCCCAGTGTTGGAGAATTACCATTATAAGTCTATCAGATGAAAGCTCCCCCGCATAAAGATGTCCATCAGAAGTCTGCTGCTAATGGTGGCAACTGCCCTTCATTTGAAAGATTCAGAAAAGGCTGTTACCATCCTTGGGATAAAGAGCTGTCCCTGATGTGTGATTAGGAGACCTTCACACGTCTGAAAGAATAAGTACCCCACTGTGTGGGTGATATAGAACACCTCTGCCAGCCAGCTGTCTGACAGGGAAAAACAGCCATCTCTAGCAATACTCTTAGATGTCAGCATTTGTAAGTAAGTCCTACCCTCCAATTCACTGCTTAATTAACATCAGTATCCATCAAAATCTGAGCCAAAGTATAAACTCAAACTGATGGACATCTGTCTATTATGACAATAAAATGTTAAAAAATTCAACACAGGTAACAATCTATTTTGTCACAAGCATCTAAAACTTCCCAATTAATTTTGTGATATCCAATATAAGATTTATCCATTTTATTTATTTAAATTCAGTTTTGGCTATGGCTATGGTTTTATTTTCTGTGTACTCCTGAAATGTGAGAAAAGTCTAATATCAACATTTTCCTTAATGATCTATGTCAAATGCTCCAATGTAAATCTGTACACGCCCTGACTTCACACAGTTTCAGAAGAGTTTATTTAAAATGAACTTTGAGATCAGGACTAAAGCCGATGGCTTACTTCATTTGCAGGTGATCCAAAAAAGGTGCACTGGATGCAACTCTCATCTCAAAACCATCTTACACTGAAATGAGTGGGGATTTTCAAGAAACAGAAGTTGACATATTTGTAGTATTATAAACACTCCCGAATTTCCTCTGGTGCTCGCCAAAGCAGCTGCTGTAATTTGGATGGAAAGTCAATGGGCACTCTGCTTAAAAGTACATTGAGAATTTCTAATGACTAGAGCAGGAGGACTAAGCAGTAGATCAGTATCATTTTGAAGCAGACTGGGAGGAACTTGCAGTGTCAGTATCATTTTGAAGCAGACGAGGAGCGTGCAGTGTCAGTATCACTGTGAAGCAGACTAGGAGGAGCGTGCAGTGTCAGTAACACTGTGAAGCAGACTAGGAGGAGCGTGCAGTGTCAGTATCACTGTGAAGCAGACTAGGAGGAGTGTGCAGTGTCAGTATCACTGTGAAGCAGACTA